AAGCTGTTGCAAGGTGAAAATGCTGATGCACGTGGATGGTGCAGACAACAGCTGATTGTGGATAATGGATGGCGTGTCAGAAATCTCTTCTGCAGCCTTTGCTGCACCAGCTCCCACCCACCCCGCAGACACTCCCTTTTTTCCTCCAAGAGGAAACCCTAGCCTGGCATTTGCAGTTAACAATTTGTGAAGACTCCTTTTTTTTTTCCTAGAGCAATCCCCCTGTTTTCTGGGATCCCTCCTTCCCTCACTCCCATCCTCATTCTCTCTCAACCCCACCCCAGGTTTTTTTGTTTTGTTTTTTGTTTTTGCTTTGGGAAGAGAATTTGGCAACACTTTCTAAAAATATCAGTATTGTCCTCAGATGCTCAGTGGAGCTCACTGACCTCTCTTCTATGCCCAGCCCCTGCAACTGGCTGTCCACATCAGCCTTCTCCCAGTTCGGTGACTCTTGGACGTGTCGAGACTGTAGCTCTGATCATTTCCAGCCAGCCTGGCTACTGGTTGGGAATTATGGGAGTTATAGTCTGAGTGAGGTATGAAAGGCCAGGTTCAAACAGTAAACCTTGCAGGATGTTTGCACTGCAGCAGCTATAAAAAAGATGAGTTGAACGTTCTCAGGTGAGACCTTGCAGCTTGAATTGGAAGGAGAATTCCTGCCCCATGGAAGTGTCATGCCAATTTGTGGGGAGGGGAGTGAAATTCTTCAAAAGTTTGTGAAGGAGGCCTTACTATGGGGAGCAGGAATAAAAGCAGTCCTTTCCCTTTTCCTCTTAACCTCTTTAAGGTTTTCTTTTAACTTCTTTTCTGTCCATACTTTTCCTTTTAAGCTTTTTTCTTTTAGGGTTTTTTTCCTGTGTGTGTGTGTGTGTGTGTGGTGGGGGGAGTAATTTTAGCACCTCTCAAGAGCCATCACTTGTTGGCCATCTTTCCATCCCACTCTCCGTCCAGGCATTCTGAGTAAAAACTGTGGATGCCAGCCAGCAGCTACCAAGAAAGACTCCGTTGTATCCTATGTTTTATTTGTTAAAACCAAGTGCATGTTATTCCTGAGGAATTTTTAACAATTAACTTTTGGAAGAATTTTGCGTCCTTTCCCCAGAACTAGCTATATGCCCTCCCCAAATTACAGTATGATTGGGGAGACCTTTTTTTTTTTTTTTTTGCTGAGACCCACAACCAGATGCATAGTTAACACTGAGGTCCCTTAAGCTGCCGCTTCTTTTTTAAAGGAACTTATTACAGTTTGTTTATTACTTACACAGCTGCTTACAGAAGCTAATGTGGGATGGGGTTATTGCACACAGAATAAACAAGTACAGCACGGAGGAGAAGGCTGATAAAAGCCCTCAGCGATGTATAATTTGTGTGTGTGTGGGGGGGGGAGGGGGAGGAGTATTAGAAATGCAAAAGGACAGGGATGTCAGAAGGACATGATTTGCAGCCATGAAATTCTGGTGGATGTGCATCTGGAGTGGATGCTCATGGAATAGGCCCTGTGAATTATCTTTGGGGAAGATGGTCACCTGACTAGGTTTGGTGGTGAATGGCAGTGCTTTGCCGAGGATACCATGGGGGATGGAGACGCGCTGTGGTGGCAGCTGGGTTATGAGTATTCTGATGGTAAGCCATGAAAACATGCTAAAGAAACATGCTGGACTGAATCCACATAGTGTAATACCTTTATTATTCCAGCTCAAAAATCATAAACACTTGCACATTTTTATGATCTTTGAGTTGGACTAATGGAGGTATTATAGTTTAAGGATGTGGGCCTTTTTTCCCCTACAGCCTGCACAGCTGCCTTTGTTTTTCTCCAGAATGAAGTGCAGCTAGAAAATATCATGTGTATCGTGAGTAAAAGAACAAAAAAGTCTAATCTGAATTTTGCATTGAGCAACCTAAATTCTGCAATGCATACGTTAAATGCATACAGGTATATTTGCTTTCTTCACTGATTGCTTAATGCAAAAAGCTCATATTTTTGGCATAATTTAATCTTTTTCTGCTAATCATGGGGAGAAAGAAAAAGCTATGGAAAGTGCTACAACAGTACCATCTGGAATTCAAGCTGTGTGTGTGTGTGTGTGTGTGTGTGTGTGTCTACACACACACACACACACACACACAATTTCTGCTTGTGCATTTTAATGCTCAACACAGAAAAATAGCATCTCAGAGGAAAGACTGCACTAAACCCTCCTCTGATATACTAGCTTTCTATGTGCAGGAAGGCTTTTTTTTAAAAAAAAGATGAAGGCATATTCAAACATGCTGTTCCCCCAGTGACCCTGCAAGTGGCACAGTGCAGGAAGGCTTCAGTGGTGTTGAATTCTGATGACATTGATGGTCTAGAGTTGTAGAATGCGTCAATATGGTTGCTCTATGGATTCAAGGTGAGTTACCTTGCCCACAGGTAATGTTTGAACAGCACTCATTCCTCAGATGGGATGAAGTGAAGATCTATAGCAGGGGTGAGAAACATGTACTTTTGTGGTTGTATTACTACTCCTATCTTCCCATTATTAGGCATGCTGGCTGAGGATGATGGGTGCTGGAGTCCAACCACATCTGGAGAGTCACAACACCCTCACAATCTATAGCAAAGAGTCATGTTATGGGTATTTTAAAATTTCTGTATGAAATGAAAAAGCAGAGTTGAATTGTGTGCACGTGCAAACCCCACTCAAATAAGGCCATCTCCCTCTTCCCTGCTTTAGCCTATGAGAGGGGAAATTGTATTTATATGAAGGCCTCATGGGCATTTATAATTTAACAGGGTTTATTCATATTTGTAAACAAAATCTCCGTCATGAATTTTTGATGGAAAGTGAGACAATGGCCTTGGGAGATGGGATAAAGGGTTGGGTGGACTGTAGGTTTCCCCCTCTATTACTGAAATTCCAAAGTGTGCATGCACGCGTGTGTGTCAGCCGAGGGGAACAGCAGTCAGATCAGCAACGATGGTAGGAAACCTTGCTTTGAATTGGGGAGGAGTGTGCCTATAGGCTGAAACCTGCAGTGTGCTGATTTATTACTGGAGTGTCAAAAAAACCCTTGGAGGCATCAGATGTAACAAGGTAAATAATAACAAATCAGATCTCCCCTCTTGCCAATTGTGTGCACACCAGCTGCAGACTTTTAGGGTTAGGGAAAAGCTACCCAGCATTAAATATGCATACATACATAAATAAATACAATCTCTCTCACACACACACACATACACACACACCCCTTGTTCCCATGATACAGCAGCACACCATTGGGTAATCAATCATGCTGTGTTACGTTGCCCAAACCTTGCCACAGTCTCTGCAAGTTTTTCAAGAACAAGCCATCCTGAGAACCCATGGTTTGTTCTCAGGGTTGCTCAACCCCCAGTGGGTTGTTGTGTCATTTGAGCACTGGAGAGAAATTCCCGGAACACGGAGAATGGCTATGGAGCCACTTGGGAAGAAAGGCAAAATCCCTGGCTGCTTGCTTTTGTCATCTTTCCAGTGCCTGCTTTTCCACCAATGTCAAAATGGTACTTTGGAAGGACCATTCTTCCTTCCTTGGCTTTTATAATTTTTATTTTGGGAGCCTCAGAACATGCAGTTGCGGTCATATTTTTATTTGTTTGGCTTCTGAACATTGTGCTTTAAAAGTTTTCCTCTGCAAGTGAGTATGTACACCCTTGTGGCTATCCAGGACAAGGAGAGATTCCATATAGGCTAAGCTGTGCAAAGTTGCCAGGGACTAAGTGCCCAGCTACCAATGGAAAAGCACAGTGCAAGGCAAAAGATGAGGAAAGAAGGTACAGCAAGTGCTTGGAAAAGGGGGAAGGGGAGAGTTAGCATTCCCCTTTCTGGAGTAGCTGGGGACCTGCAGAAAAGATAGAAGGTATTGAGAATGGTCCATTCAAAACTATGCATTGTTGTGTGTTTAGAACATATTATGAGGAGTTTGTGTGCGAATATAGTTAAGGTTCTTAGAATACACTGCTTTGTCCAGTTTTGGAAATATAGATCCAGAGCACAGCTTGCTCCAAGTATGACTGGGTTCACTCCTAGAAATCTGTTATGAGTGGCATAGCCTTGCCATGTTACAATGGAAGTAAGTAATAATATAGGTGAAATCTCTGAGCATGGGCAGAGTGGATTTCCTTCTGAGTAACCAATTCCCATGCAACTGGGATAAGACTTCCAGGATAAAAGGTGTGGCTTGGCTCTTGAACCCCAAGTTCTCTCATTTTAAAAATGAAGTCTTGGGTAGATTTAAGTTACAATTACTAAAACTTGCCAACTTGGAGTCAGTTCAAGAGAAGTTGCTAGTCTCCAAATTTCCTCCTCCTTTCCCTTAAGTTTGTATAGTCTGTCATTTGTATTTGGAACACTATAGGGTAATGCCTGTATTTGCCATGCAATGCCTGTTTTTCTATCCAGCTTGCTCCTCTCGAGTGACAAAAGGATTAGAATCGGGACTCAGTGGCCTTAGGATCACTGTCGGATGGGGTTGCAAGCAAGCCAAAAGTAGATGCCAGAGCATGGACGGAGAACCTTAATGGGAGGATGGAGAAACCTGGGGAGTGGAAGACGTAGTGAGGGGTGGCAGGATGGCACACCTGAGTTAGGATAGTGGGAATGGTCAGCTGCCACTTTCTTTTCCCTGGGTGTGGAAAAGACCACTTGGGACCACCCAAGACCACTGGCACTGTCTCTCTCCTTCCAGAGTCCTCCCCTATGATAGATATAGCATGAGGAGAGAAAAGCTACTAGGGAAGAGCTGAACCTGTTGACTTTCTGGCTGCAGCTGTGAAAACTTAAGGCAGCAGCCCTGACCTGGAGCGGGTCAGGGCTGTGGTTCATTTAAGGAAGAGGTGAGGATCGTTCTGTGCGGGCTGAAGAGGAGAGAGGGCTTGGGTAAGTTTGGGGGCTGAGGATCTGGGGGTTAGGGCTGCCTCGAAAGATAGGGTTGGGGGTTACTCATCCGAGGGGGAGAGAGTGGGGAAAGAGACTCACTCCGGGATGCCTCTTGAGCTGCCGGGAGATCATGCTCCTCTTGGAGGCGCCCTTCGCTCCGGGGCTGCGCTGGGCGGCTGCGCGGGCTTCATGCGCTCCCGTCATCTGCTCACTTCGGCACCGGCGGTTGGAGGGGGCTGTCTGGCCGCCGCTTAGCCAGAGCAGGGCACCCCACCGGCGTCTGCCTCCGCCCCCAGGACAGGAGGCGGGCTAATCCCCTTCGCTCTCCCTCTTCCTCCCCCCGCCCCCCCCCACTCCAGAGAAAGAGAGAGAGAGAGCGAGAGAGAGAGGCCCCTGGGATGCAGGTTTGGACTCGGAGCCCAGGAGATAGACGCTGGAACCCTGGGATCCGCGAGCGAGTTTGCCAAAGCAATACCGCACGGAATGAGAGAGAAAGTTTCGTCCACGGGCCTGTGGATGTGGGGCAAAGGCAGAAACGTCGGGATGCCTGCTGCGTGGGCTGCTCAGGATTCCCCCTGTGGGAATTGCGCCTGTTCTGTGGGACTGGAAAAACTAATGGTGGGAAGCCCTAAAAAAAGGAGCAGTGGGGAGAACTTGCTTAAAACAGGAGAAGTTTGACAACTCTGGGCAAAATGGTGTCTTTGTGGAGGGTTGTGCTCCACAAAAGACGAGAATGGGAGGAGATGGGTTGTCACCTTGTGATTATGGGGAGTTTTTAAGGCATGAGGAGCAGGCAGAAATTTAACAGATGATGCTCGCCTGATCTCTGGGATGAAATGCTGTGCCTGGAGGAGGCTTGGCTGGCTGGTTTTCTACAGGTAGTTGAAGGGTTAAAGACCTATGAGACTTTGTGCTCTGACGGACAAAGGCTGAGATTGGGCTCCAAATCCAGTGGGAAAAGAAGGGAGAAAGTGAAGGGTATGATGGGCCAAAATGAAGAATGGGATTATGAACAATAGGAATGCAGAAGGAAGCCTGGGAAGAAATGGAATCATTTCATGCCGCATCCATATCCCACCCTTTTTCCTCCTGTGAGGATCCCAAGGTGACTTACATATCCCCATTTTATCCTCCCAACAACCAGCCTGTGAGGTGGTTTAGGATGGACATCTGTAACTGGCCCAAAGTCACCAGTGAGCTTCCTGGTTGAGTGGGGACTAGAAACAGGGTCTCCCAAGCCCCCAGTTTAACATGCTTACCAGTGCAACTCACAGTGGGTAGAGAGAATGTGGGTCTTTCCAAGGCCCACCCCTTAGCTATAGACTCAGACAGGGAGTTTATAAAACACTTTTACACTAATAAGATGAGTAGCGGTAAGAGAGGGTGGTGGGCAAAAATGTGTGTGCATGTAGAGCAGGGATCCGCTGAGCATCAAACCTGGCTTGCCTTTTGGTAGCTCAAGGCTCACTGATGGGCCAGGGACAAACCACTTGGCCTACTTTAGTGCTTTTGGTAAGAGCAGAATCTGGAAGAAATGAAACAAACTCTCCTTTGGAAGGGAGGTGGATGAGTTCACACCTGCTGTGAAAGGCACGTGATAAGATGACAACACTGACAGCCTTAGTGAGTACTAGCTGTGTGTTCAGTAAAGCAAAAAGTCCTGCAACTCCCAGCATTCCCCAGCCAGCTGGCTGGGGGAATGCTGGGAGTTGCAGGACTTTTTTCTGCCTAAGCCTGCACAGGATTGTCTGCTTTGGGAGCTGGTAGAAGCCTTCTGCTACAACCCCAACGGAAAGGAAAATTCCTGGAGCATACAAAGTTATTTCACTCCTGCTTCTAGGAGCTGAAGGGGTGCTTCGCAAATGGAGGCTCTTACTGTTATCAGTGAAGTTTCTGTGGTAAGAAAAAAAGGCAGAAGAAGCACTAGGAAAACACTGATATGAGTGGAAGAAGGCATTATCTCAACCCGCTCCCCAATAACATTCTGTGCATATTCTGTGAAACCCTGTAACAGCTTCATCTGGAAACACTCCAGTTCATTACCACAGAGATGCAAGACCCACACTTGTGGGGCTAAATAGGCTGGCATATTTTAGCTTCAAGCTCTTACTTCCCCTTTTGAGAATGAGGGAAAGAGCCTCACAAAAGCTTCCAAATCAATTCCCCAATTCCCAAAAGGGTTGGGGAACGTAGCAGGACTGGAAGAAGACCATCTGGCAGAGTAGGACGTGGCTTCCAGGGCTGAGGTTTTGTACCCAGGTCTCCATGTTTAACTTGTGAATGGAGCCATTCCCAGATACATGGAAGATCCTATCACTGCAGTGCACTGAGAGCTACAGCTTGTCAAATCCTATTCAAGTTGTTGATAAGGTTTTCAAAATGTCAGTGTCTTGCAATTAATGTCCTTGTTTGTTTTTCTAAAAGAAAGAAAGGAAAGGAAAGGAAAGCACTTCCTTGGGAGATGGCTGTAGCTTTCTTCAGCTAGGAGCTGAGCTCCACATAATGATAATCACACTCCTTGTCTCATAAGTGATGTAATTTGTTGCTCAGGTCTTTGCCCCATTATCATCATAGCATTGGAAAGTGCCGTTCTGAGGATGGTTCCTCAAGCCAGCCTTCGAATAGGTAGAATTTTCATGACTTCTTTCCCATATCCCTCACAGGGCTGAGCTGGGGATATTTGCCAAGGCTGACAAAATGCACGTCTCACTACCATATGCCAGCCTGCAATCAATTTATTTTTCATACAAACAAAATGCAGGTATGTTTGCTGCTGGGTCCCTACATTTCACACTAGGCGGGGGTGACATTTATAACTGATGGGGCCATCAACCTGTGTTGCGTATATATCTGGTGTGTGTGTGTGTGCTCGCGCGTGTGTGTTCTTTTTTCCCTCCTTCCAGCTCACTGCTTGGATGGAAACAAACCTTTCCCTTAGTTAATGATAGCTTTGCCGTTGCTAGCAGACTGCAGAATCGAATCGGCTTCCTCAACCTGGTGCCCTCCAGATGTGTTGGCTTGCAACTTCTCTCATTCCAGCTAGCATGGTTGATAGTAGGAAAAGCTGAGAACTGACAGTGGAACATCTGGATGGCTGCGGGCTGGGGAAGCTCAATCATTAAGAAGTTTGTTACACATAGTAAAAGTGCTCTGGTCTGTTGAGCTTATGGTGGCAAAGCTTTTGACATGGATTGGCTGAGCTACTCTTGGGGGAACAAAGGGATTTACAGTCAACTTTGATGAGGGAAAAGAAGGATGTCCATCTGGCTGGAATAAACAAAACAAGCTCCCCAAGGAGGTAGATGAACACTGGGGAGAGATGCCAGGATACAGGGAAGTTAAGAGGGAGTCAAGAGGTGTGGAAGTTGAAAGAAGTTGCAGAGTGAGCAATGGACAGAGAACATGGGACTATAGAGCAGGTGGGCAGGGAGAGATATTGGAGAAGATTGGAGGAGGATGCAAGAAGTTAATCAGGACTTAATTAATTAATTAATGTGAAAAAACTCTACAGTGCTTACTTCATTCCACATTGTGAGGTAACTGGCACTTCACAGCTCACATTGTGTACTGGAATTTACTCATAAGTAGTCCTACTGACTTGCCCTTCTAAGACATTGGCACAAAGTGCTTAGTACAAATAGTTTCCACATTTTAACCTTTTGCCTTTTATGAGTTTTTTTAATAAAGCAAAATATGCCCCGACATACCCTAGATTCTATATAGTTGTATGCAGTAGTTTTATATCCCAAACAAGAGGTCCCAAACAGAGGAACAAAAGAAGGTTCAGTCCAGATCATAACTTTTTAAAGCTAAGATGGTTAGCTAACATCTCCAGCAAACAGAATTAAAATCCATTGAGGGAAAGATTTGCTATGACTTTTTAAAATTAGTAAGCTAAACAATTGTTATGCAGAGAAAAGATCAATAAGTCAAGCATTGTTATGTAGATTTTCTTGTTTTGCATAGCCTCAGGAAGGATTAAACCTAAAATTACCTGTTCGTGCTGAAAGTCTTGCTTATGCTGATTGAAACTTCCTGGGGTAAAATTTCAGGTAGAACGAAGACTTTTCATATGCTACATTTTCATTGCCTGAAACTTTTTCATCTGGGGTCAGTTCTGACCCCAAATACCACTAGTGCTAGTTTTTTGTTGAGATGGGAGGAAGGGGTGATGAAGGGCCATGTGCTATGGGAAGATGAGAATGACAGTGGATGATGAAGGAAATGTAACAATTCAATAAAGGCAGTAGGCTCAACATGATAGGGGAAAGTATTTATAAGGTAGGCTTACAGTATAAGGCTAAAGCCCCATTGGCACGAAGAATGTGAGCAGGCAGGGAAGGCTCTCAGACCATGTCCTGCCCAGGAAACTTGCTTGTTGTGGCATCTCTTCTCCTGGGAGTATTCCACGACTTGACAGCTCAGAGAATCCACCAAGTGCCCAAAAGCTGGGGAGGAGAGCATGTGCGAATGTCATCAATTTGATCAGATCAGTGCCCTTTTTGACTGCTATGCCGATAAAGCCAGTTCCCACACTAACCTTCTGTTCTGATCGACTTTCCTAAACTTTTGAGCAGCCAAGCAATGGAAACTGGGCCAGGGCTATACATGATTGATTCTCAGTGGTTGTGTGGGGCACAGTAAAGAGGCTCCAATCCAGTGCCTACTTAAGAGGGGTCCAAACCGGTTTTTTGCTCCAAATAGTAGGGGCAGTTTAGGAGTATCCCACTGGCGTTCCCAAAAGCATACTTTTACGTTCTCAGTGTGTAAATGAATGATCTCCTCACACACTATCAACAAATTTAAGGGGCGATGCTTAGGGAAACTGGTGGAGTGAAAGCAAAAGGTGACCACTGTCAATGGCAGTGCATGGTCTAGCCCTCACTGAAGAGGGTCCTGACAAAGGAGCCAAAGTGTGCCAGTCCTTTTAGGTTTTGCCATCTATAAGCCTTTCTTCAGTGCATGTAAGTGCATGTATGCACACACATGAACCCATTATAATGCTGGGCCCTTTGTGGATAATAATAATAATAATAATAATAATAATAATAATAATAATACCAATAAGGTGAGATCTGATAGAGACATTCTAGCAAGAAAAGGGGACTGTTGGTGGGTCAGGTTTTCACTCTCTGCCTGCAAGCCCTCAATGCAGATGTGGGGCACATTCAGGGGACTGGAGGAGAGGGATAAGGCAGTCCTGCTGCCCAAGAGGACT